TCTGACTTTTGTGAGGTTCTCTCAATGATTTATTCGCTGTTCTCATCTCTTCTTGATTTTTTTTTTTTTTTTGGGGGGGGGGGGGGGGGTTAGGGGTAGGGACTCAGAATTTAACTGTCTTACATCTTTACGTTATAATTTTATTTAAACTCTCTATAATTATTCTTCATATATGAAACCTAGACAGAAATTTCTGGTCTGGATTTTTTTATCATCACACCCGACACAATAGTTATGATGTCGTTTATATGATTTAAGTTTAAAACATATTTTTGCTGCAAGTTGTACGCCATTTTGAGAACAGCTGAAATTATGACATCACTAATTATATCATTAGTTACTCTATGGTATTTAATAATATTCCTGATATTTTGCAATATCATAATTTTAGATCAATATGCTTGCCTGTAGTTCTTTTGATATTTTTTATATCATGCTCAAAATTCAGATTACGCCCTCTTAGATGTGTGACATATATTGTAAAAACCCCCGGACAAATCAGACCCAATAACTAGCATTTTCGAAATAATCAATGGTTTTATTTTTACTGTGCGGTAATAGGATTCAATTAATGTTAGGTGACGTTTCAAGCCGATTTCAAACCTCTTTTGCCTTCTCGCAGATCTAAATAGACTTTTTATCTATTTTCCAAGTTAAAAGTAATTAAGCCTGTCAAGACATGTAACTGCATGTATTTTATATAATATCTTTGGTTATGTTTCGAATATAAATTTCGATTCCAAATTTCGGTTATGAAATACTGTATACATAGCAAGAGTTGGAATAATTTCTCCTATGCGATAAAACTATGCAATTTATTTTTATATAAAAGCGATCTCCAAATACAGTAAAACTCGGTTATAACGAAGACGCTGGGACCTCTGAAATTACTTCGCTATATCCGTAATTCGTTATATCAATATATGGAATTTGTTAAATTTATAAAGCTGGGGATTCAAGACAACTTCGCTATATCCGTGAATTCGCATTATCCGTTTTGTACTAAACGAGTTTTACTGTACAGTACTTTTAATGGAGATGTTCCAAATAGAATATGTATCAAAATGCGTAAACATTGCTTTAATCGACAATCTAGCTGCATCTTATTTGGAACATTTAAAGCAAAAAAAGATTCTTTGCAAAATTTGAAATATACGATTGTCTTTTGTGCTTATAACGAGAACACAGTAAAATTTGTCCAAGATTGTACGTTAAAGTTCAAAGTTTTTTGCAATGCTAAAATGTAGAACCTATATAATTCAAAATGTATTCATATTTGTTTTCAACAAATGTTTCCATTAATTTAGAGGATGAGTTTATGAAAGAAAAAAAGAGGCCCATGGGCCACATCGCTCAACTGAGTAACTTGGGTGATGCAATCTTTCAGATTCCCACCCTTGCTATACCTATCATGCCCAACAACCCCCTTCCCTTTTTTATTTTAAAACTTTAGAATCTACACTACCCAAGGATGCTTTCATATAAGTTTCAGTTTTCCTTGCCCAGTAGTTCTTGAGAAGAAGATTTTAAAAGATTTGTTCTATATTTTTCAATGTAAAACTTGGATTCCTTATTGTGGTATTGCCCTACCCCCGGGGTCATGATTTTAACAATTTAATATCTACACTACCAAAGGATGTTTCCATATAAACTTCAGCTTTCCTGGTCCAGTGGTTCTTGAGAAGAAGATTTTTAAAGATTTGTTCTATATATTTCTATATAAAACTTGGATTCCCTATTGTGGCCCCACCCTACCCCCGGGGGTCATGATTTTTACAATTTAATATCTACACTACGAAGGATGCTTCCACATAAGTTTCAGCTTTCCTGGCCCAGTGGTTCTTGAGAAGAAGATTTTTTAAAATTTGTTCTATATATATCTATGTAAAAACTTAATTCCCTATTGTGGCCCCGCCCACCCCCGGGGGGGATGATTTTAACAATTTAATATCTTCATAACCCAAGGATGCTTCCACATAAGTTTCAGCTTTCCTGGCCCTGTGGTTCTTGAGGAGAAGATTTTTAAAGATTTGTTCATATATTTCTATGTAAAACTTGGATTCCCTATTATGGCCCCGCCCTACCCCCGGGGGGGGGGGGGGGGCATGATTTCAACAATTTAATATCTTCACTACCCAAGGAATGCTTCCACATAAGTTTCAGCTTTCCTGGCCCAGTGGTTCTTGAGAAGAAGATTTTTAAAGATTTGTTCTATGTATTTCTATGTAAAACTTGGATTCCCTATTGTAGCCATGCCCTACCCCCGGGGGTCAAGATATTAACAATTTCACATGTACACTACCCAAGGATGCTTCCATAAAAGTTTCAGCTTTCCTGGCCCAGTAGTTCTTGAGAAGAAGATTTTTTAATGACCCCACCATATTTTTGTCTTTTCTTGATTATCTCCCCTTGTAAGGGGACTTGGCAATTCATTTTAACAATTTAAACTCCCCTTTACCCAAGGATGCTTTGTACTAAGTTTGGTTAAAATTGGCCCATTGGTTCTTGAAAAGAAGTCGAAAATGTGAAAACTTTACAGACGGACGGACGGACAGACAGACGGACGGACGACGGACAAAATGTGATCAGAAAAGCTCACTTGAGCCTTCGGCTCAGGTGAGCTAAAAAAGCTAAATAAGCAATTCTTTTGCTTGTGAAAAACTTTGCAATATGTCGGACCTTATTGACTTTTGTACAAATTTCTGTCGCATATGTGATACACTGTACCCCACTAACAGCTTTTGTATTAGATCTGTGATAATTTTCAAACTGAATAAGCATTTCATGAAACCTGTGTCTAATCAAATTGATCATGAACGAAAGATTACATCATTTGAAGTGTCAAAAGCGAGTAATATATCAGATTATTTCATGAAAGCAGTTCATTTTTGTAAGCAAATATTCCCATTTAATGACTCAAAGAAACCTAAGATTATGCTGTTAAAATCTATTAAAGCTGAATCTTTTTTAAGGAGGAACAGGACCATTGCTGAAAAAATTCCTGTCAATGAATTTTTTTGAATTTATTATGTTTCTAATTTAATATGTACTTAACATTTTAAAATGGTCCTGTCATGGGATTTCTTGAATTATTTAAAAGATATGCCCACAAATAGCCCTGTTTTGAGTTTGTATGGAGTTTAGATACTTTATGTTTATGGGCCCATAACGGAGTTCATAATGCGAATTTTTAGCACAAACGATAAATATGATAGACAAGAGGCCCAAGGGCCTTGAATCGCTCTTCTGATAAATTGTACAACCTATCACTTTTATTTGAAGCCTCTAACCCTAAGTATCCTAAGACCAAAGTTTCACCACCTGACAAAGTTTGATGATTCTTGGCCAATTAGGACTACTTCTTGGTCTACATTCTTGGAAAACCCAAAATGCATCAACTTACACAGTCTGAATATTCTAAGCCAATAAATACCTAAGATACCTAAATATGCCATAAAAAGTCAAGAGGTCACGTGACCTACTTTTTGGTCAAAATTCTCCGAAAACCCAGGATGCATCAACTGACAAAGTTTGATGATTCAAGAATAGGTACCAGAGATACTTAAATATAGCCATAAAAAGTCAAAGTAGGTCAACATGACCTACATTTTAGTTACATTTTTCAGAGTCCAAAGATGCATCTGCTGATAAGTTTGATGATTCTAAGCCAATAAATACCTGAGATATTCAAAGTAGGTCATCGTGACCTACTTTTTATGTTATCTCCAAAACCCAAGATGCATCAACTACAAGTTTGATGATTCTAAGCCAATAAGTACCGGAGATACGTAAATACAGCCATTAAATGTCAAAAGTAGGTCATCGAGACCTAATTTTTGGTCGTCACTCTCCGAAAACCCAAGATGCATCAACTGACAAAGTTTGATGATTCTAAGCCAATAAGTACCAGAAATACTTAAATATAGCCATAAAATGTCAAAAGTAGGTCACTGTGACCTAATTTTTGGTCTTCACTCTCCAAAAACCCAAGATGCATCAACTGACAGAGTTTGATGATTCTAAGCCAATAAGTACCGGAGATCCTTAAAAATAGCCATAAAACATCGAAAGTAGGTCACCGTGACCTAATTTTTGGTCGTCACTCTCCAAAAACCCAAGATGCATCAACTGACAAAGTTTGATGATTCTAAGCCAATAAGTACCGGAGATACTTAAATATAGCCATAAAATGTCAAAAGTAGGTCACCGTGACCTACTTTTTGGTCGACATTCTCCGAAAACCCAAGATGCATCAACTCACAAAGAAATTTACGATTAAATGTCAGTCCTTCATCGTAATTATTTACTGCATAAATATCACAGGGTGAAGCTTACGTCAATATTGCACAGGACATAGTTGAATTAGACATAAGCATGATAAAAACGCTTCACGTCTGTATTTTCCGAGGCGGGAAATCAATTGTGACGTCACACGAAAAACATAAACATTCAAAATTATCTAAATAGAGAGAATCTTTGCTACTAAACACGAAAAAATATAATTAAAAAAAATCTGCTTCAGAAATTTATCACGGTACATTACTGTGACCCGTTTATTATGAAATAAAATGATCATGACGGGTGTGTGTAGTTCATCTGCTGCACTGAGAATTCAAACACTACGTCTATGACGTCACTGACGTCATACTGCAGGGTAAAGAGAAACAATTGTGTGGATTGGGCAACTTCACAATATCTAAACGATGGCAAGATCTTTAAAAATTTTATTGATAATAATTTCTAAAATTAAATGTTTAAAAAACAATTTTAGAATTTAGAATAAAATTTTTCAAGAACTGTTGATTTAACAACGTTTAACATGTATATCATCACCATTATGATGTAATATGTCTTTTTAGTCATGTGAAATGTGCCCTGTCTCCCCTTAAGTAAAAAAACAAAACAAAAAATTAATGATAAGTACATAAAGGTCCAAATGTCTTTTGTTATCCATGATAAAACAAGAATTTCTTACCAAGAATATGCTTAAGGTTCTAACATCATGGTCTTCTGCGTGTGCGTGAAGGGGGCATTTGTTCCCGTTGTATAGGTGTACAGCTATATCCAACTTCATAATGAAGGTCGATGTTAAATGTTTTTGTTAAAGAATACAACATTTTCATTACTTTTCTTTTAACATCACCAAAGGTCCTCTGTATTAATTCTTCTTGCGTCTGATCATCATCATTATACAGCATCAACTGTATATAACTCTCACTGACTCCTAAAACTAAAACGTGTTTTTGATAATAAAACATAGCAGTGTCAATATAGATACATTTTCTTCCGTCCATCAAAGGTTCCCACTGCGACTTTAAACAACACACAATCAGTCTGTAGAAGAGAAATACAGGTAAAACAGGGAATCTGAAGTACAGAGTTGGTGATTTTTTAAGACGGGAATGAATCTTTGATTTAACATCCTTTGGGACTTTCATTCTATTCATACTTGGAATAAAACATATATCTGACTTTTCTTCTATCGCCATGAGACCCAATCGTTCCATGTATTTCATCATATCATCCTTGTATTCAACTGCTGTTTGATTTTTTGTAACTGTCCAGATTGCTCGTAAGAATGCCCCGGATATTTCTCCTGTAGTTGTAAATGTATCAAGCGCCTCTCTAGTGGGGGCTGCATCAATTACTTTATTGAAACTGGCTTGCTTTGAATCAGTTATAACATATTTGAATGAATTGACAAACCACTGAATATCCAGGATAACTATTTCAGTACCAAACTGAAACTGACGGTCATCATTTTTTATTGGTTCTTCTGATGAAAAATATAGAATCACACCAATATCATGATAAAAGCGTAATAAATCTTTGAATTCCTGTCTGCTTAAAGGAAGCAATTCATCAAATGATTTCTTTAATTTGTCCAGTTTCTGAAGCTTTGTTTCTTTTTTCTCTGAAATGAATTTTTCAAATATGGCCCAATCCAGGGGTATCTCTTCTCCCCACTGTTTTTGTGACATAACTACTTCCACAATGCTTCTTTCTAATTCATCTAGACTTTCAATACATGCTGCATCATGCTTTTTAAGACTTAATGTAAAATATCTATCGCTGCACAAGTGTGTTTTAATCGTCGAAGACACAGGAAACGTCTTGATAAGTTCTTGGTAATATTCCGTCCTTTTCTTGAAAATATTGTTTCATATATAGTTTGCTGTATTGTTCGTGAACTTCGATTAGTTTTAAATATGATTTCAAAAATCTTTATGAATGATTTATACATGTGACTAAAACAGCTATTGAAATACCTGTTCCGATTTTCCCTCTGCGTGAGTAGCTACAAGAATAACAGGGGCCTCATTTCCACAATAACAGTTTACAGATTTCAACCAAAATAGAAGATAATCTGCAAAAAAATATTGTTCACAAATTTCTTTATATATAATTCAAACATTTCTGAGTGTACTTTTATTATTATTCATTGTTTGTAATCAAAACATTATTCTGATCATTAAATGGTAAATTTTTAATTCAGTTTTGGTTGTTTAATATGACAGTTTTATTTCAATTTTTTTTTCTTGCAAACCATTTACTTTATTTTATTGAGTGCTGATTTTCGGCGTCAGTCTGTATCTGGTCTAAAGGAAAGTTATTTTTCGGTAATTCTTTTTTTTAATATATATTTGCATTTAATAAAAATAAAAAATCATGAAGAAACAAAACTTGAAGTTAGTTTAATCGTTGTTAATTGTGGGATATTGAATCTGCACTTAAGGTAGTCCGACCCTCAGGTTTATAAAATAAGCAGTTGAGTAATCAAAAATACTAATAACAGTATCTTTATATCCACAAAGTTATAAATATTTATCCACAGTATTTCTTAAAAATTAAAGTTAATCATATTATATAGGTAAAATTGTCAAATCTGCGATAAATTTGCAGAAAAAGCGAATTGAAATATCAGCAATGCATTTTCTAACTGCAAATTGATAAACAAATATATTTTAGGTTAAAAAACGATAGGTATCCAGGTATTCAGAGAAATTGCTATGATTTCAAACTCATTTGGGATTTTTTCTGTCTTTTATTTCCGTAATGCATTGTATAATACGTAGTGTAAAAGGCTTTTGCTTTCATTGCAAGACACCACAGATCACTTCCTATTTCATATCATGCTAATAAACATTGATATCTAAGGCTAGATTTAAGAAAATCTTATTTCTAAAAACCTGTATTTATTTCATTTTATAGGGTACAAATATCAAGTTTCAAAAACCTTGAATTTATAAAGATTATTAAATGAAAATTGCTGCATGAAAAAAAAATTGATTTTCAAGCTTCATTTTGATGGAATTCAAATAAAATAATAATTTTTGGAGTTATCCTTCCTGACTGAGAATTGGATATCCTTAACGAGGTCAAGTTTAAGTCGATTGCCATATATATGTAACGTTAATGGCTCTAAAAATGTGCTTTTAAGAAAAAACACCAAGAGGTCCAAGGGCCTCAAATCGCTCTTCTGATAAATTGCACAATCTTTCACTTCTATTTGAAGCCCCTGAGTATCCTGCATATATAAGTAAATCCTTGAAATTACAAATGTACGTCATCAAGACCTACAGTTTAGTTGAAACACTGTAATTGTCAATGATAATCAACTTATGATGATTCTTAGCCAAAACGTACTACATGTAATACTTGAGATATTCAGTAGTAGGTCAAGAAGACTTACTTTTTGGTCCACATTCTTCGATACCCAAGATGCATCAACTGACCAATTAGAAGATTCTAAGTCAATAGGTATCCAGAATACTTTAATATAGTGATAAGAGGTAAAAAAGTAGGTCATCATGACCTACTATTCTGGTGTATCAACTGACAAAGTTTGATTGTTCTAAGCCAATTAGCTAGTATCCGAGAGGTACTTATATATAACCATAAAATGTCAAAAATATGCCACCTTTTCTGAAAGGTGCATCAATTAAAAAAGTTTGATAATAATAGGTCTGAACTATTAAAATATACCATTAAAACAATCTGAAAACAATTGCCTGCAAAATTAAAAAAATAGGTTACCCATTTTTTCATGAATATGTTTTAAGGTTGAAAAATGCACCAACTTACAAGTTTTGATGATTGTAAACCTTTCAGTTTCTGAACAAATGCGATTAAATGTTTTAGAAAAGATTAGCTATAAAATTTTCAGGGCACGTCACAGTGACCTACGTTTTAGTGGACGTTTGAGGACTCAAGATGTATCAACTGACAAACTTCAGTGATCATAAACCTTAAAGTGTCCAAAATATACTTCCAAATCAATTTGAAATCAAATGCTCACAAAATAAAAAAAAAAAAAAGGTCATCGTCACCTACATCAATGCACCAACTTACAAGATTTGATGATCTTAGTTTTTTAGTAATTGATATGTATAAGCAAAATATCAACGTTTTTATAAAATGTAATTTTAAAACTTTGAAGTGACATTGTGACAATGCCCTTTACCCCAGGTAAAACCCCAATGCAAATTTTAATCTTCAACATATCCTTGTATGTGTGTTTGGTGATAATCTGCCAGATTGATCTAGAGAAAAAGAGTTTCAGCAACCAGTACTTTTTGTTTTATTTTCCGATTATTTCCCCTTGTTTGTCCTAACCCTAGTTTTTTGGTATAAATGGTAGCCCTTGGGCCAAGGATACGCTGTGACAAATTTGACAATGATTGGCCAATAGGTTATTGAGTTATGGCCCATATTCTAAAAAGTTACATATAACGCACACCACAAAAATGGCCATAGCATTAGCTTTTTTGAGCCTTTGGTTCAGAAAAACAAAACAAAGACGGAAACAGTGCGATGACCTGAGGTACAGTGTATGTCACAATTTTTCAACTTCGTAAACAATTTATGAAGCTGAAGAATGGTGCATGACTAAATTCAGTATCTAAAAGGTCCTTTGATATTTTACCAAGAATATATACTAAAAACATATACTAAAAATTTATACATTGTTATTTTTATATACACTTAATCAATTTTCGTAGATACATGTATATACCGCAGTTTGGCAGTTTTAGAGGTATTAGGAATTGAAAAATTAAAACCTTTTATAGTTTCACTAGACCAGTCAGATGGTGGACATTTTTCAAACTTCATGTATGTGAACAAAAAAAAAAGATAATAAAAAAAAAATCGCTACGGTAGAAATAAAAATTAACAAGGAAAATATAACATGGCACTTTTCCAACACATATTTAATACTTTTTTTCACGATTGTAATACTCCCAGTCTAATTTTAGAGTGAAAATTATATACGGGTTATAAATATGTACCGCAGAAGTTAGTACATCTTTAACTTTGCCAAATCGTTTATTTAAAGGTTGAATGAATTTCTTTATATTACCGGAAGTTTTTTTAGCCCTCCTAACAGAAATCAAAATTTTGCATTTTTAATAGAATTTCTAACAATATTTTAGTTTTTCAAGGTTTTGTACCTGTTAATCATAAATATTGTACTAAAATCCCGGGGGATTTTTTTTTTCTTTACCGGATGTGATGCCTATATTTCCTCAAAATGACTGATGTTCATTTCTAATGCTGGAAATTCTCAAAAAAAAGAAAAAAAAGCTTTAGATGCAAATCTACACTATATAACGACTCATTAGGCTCATGTGTGAAAAAATATATAAATGAAAGTTTCTTGACCGGCAGTCCAAGAGTTGCTACACTAAGCAAAGTTAGAGAAAATTCGACCGCAGTGTCTGAAAAACATGCATCAAAAATGCCCAAGAATATTAATTTCGCTCAGATTAAGACATAAATAAACAAAATGCATGGTAGAAATCGGGCTGCATTTGTTGTATATGGCGGACTAGCACCTTTTAATTAAATGGTAGGAAGGGGATGTTTTAGAGTTACCGAGTATTTGTTTCTTTCTAAGGTCTTAAAATAACATTTAATGTTTAAAAAAGCATCAATGTTTTTGTAAATTCACTTTTTACCCAAATATATTCATTTTTAATGTTATCATTCAAGTTAAGAAGGTAAAATAACTCTTAAAACACCCTTCCTTCTTGCTATCAGTCATCTGGTAAAGAAAAAGGATTTTTTCCTGGGATTTTAGTATAATATATATGAGTAACAGCCTCAAAACCTTGAAAACCCAAAATATTTTTAAAATTCTATAAAAAATGCAAAATTGTGAATGCTGTTAAGAGGGCTAAAAAGCAACTTTCGGTAATAGAAAGAAATCCATTCAATCGTTAAATAACTGATTTGGCAAAGTAGAAGATATCTCAACTTTCTTGGTACATAGTTATACACCGTATATAATTTTCACCCTAAATTGTGGGTGTTGCGTTTCTATTGGCTGGGAGTATACTACTGCAACTTCAGAAATCTTTACAGGAATGCAGGTACATTATGATGATAAGAATAAAAATATGCTGTGGATAGTTGAAATTTTCGAAATATTTCAAATATGGTCATTATTTTTTAATTCACCGCAAATAAAACTAAAAATTCACACTCAGGTTTGTTATTTTATTTGAAGATTTTTCTTACCCTTGTGGCTCCATTTTGAGAACATAGTATCCTTTTGATCGCAAAGCTCTTCATCTATGACATCTTCCAGGTCTTTAGACATGTCAATTACCAAAATTTAGAACGCTCGTTTGCTGAGGTAGATTTGATGACAGGCGTAATACATACACTGTCCTCCGAAATCCAGGATGCTTAGAAGTCTTTTCTCCTCTATCTTTTCTGCATCGTCAACTGGAACATTTTCTTTTATATGGATTGCAGGATCGCATTTACGCATAGCAACTATAAAATTAAAAAAGGTAACAAATTTATTTAGTTTTAATGTCAGTTGCAATTTAAGTCTTTTTATCTTGATATGATTAAAAAAAAACCTCAGTAACTTATACAGAGACATGTATAAATGGTAAAGTAAATATGATATTAGTATATCGAAAGGTTTCTTTTTGGGGAGGGGTGTGTAAATTGATTTCTTCAATATTCATTGTTAATGAAATGCTTGTAGAATGATATAGAGATAACGAACAATATTCATTCTCAAAGTCCATATACCAATACAAAATAAGAGCAGAGCGCACAGGGACCCCCGAAACATCAAAGGTGGGATCAGGTGCCATGGAGGGGTGAGCATCCCCTGCTGACCGATCACAACCATCGTGTGCTCCTTGTCATGATCAGGACATAACGGGGAAAATCCGTCGTCAATTCAGTGTATAAATAATGGACTAACAATTGGTATGAAAAACGTCAGTGAGCATTTGACTCAATGATAAACTTTATTTGCTGACAAGGTCATTGTATCGACCATAGAACTAACGAAATAATGACTGCTGATATTCTTGTTTCGTCAACTTGCTTGTCAATAATTTACCTCGTATTAGAAATTGTTCATAAGTAGAGCATGCTCTTGCGCATCGAATCAACCGAGATATATTTACTCCGTATGCAGGTGATGAAGGTAAATTACTGCATAAGTAACGATAGAAAAGTTAAAGTCATCACGTTTATCATAAAGCTTGGTTGTTAGATTACCATTAATGTCTTTTTTAAGTTAAATATCCAAGTATGAAACAGAAGTGTCGGACTCTGTGGTATCTTTTATCTCAAGCTCACTAGGATATATCGTATCGACGTAAGAATGGAAATTACCGTTATTAATTGACAATACGTCGTCGATATATCTAAATGTCGAGTTGAATGCCACAGCAAGTGTTTTCTTCTTTCACGCATAAGATTTTGCGTAAATTCTGCTTCATATTAATATAAAAATAAGTCTGCTAATAATGGAGCACAATTTGTACCCATGTGAATTCTAATAGACTGTTGGAATACCTTGTCTCCAAAAACGACATAGATATTGTCAATCAGAAACTCAAGCATCTTCTTGATGTCAACTTCAGAGTACTTATTAGTGCAATCATAATCTGTTTTACCAAAATAATTTTGCAAATGACCAATGACGAGGTAAGTAGATTACAAGTTCCATTTGCATTGAAGAAGCAGCTGTCAATGATATCAAAAAGCCTGGATTTTAATTTTTCGTGGGAATTCTCTATTAACACAACTGATTTGTCATGCATATATAATATTTTTCACCTTCCAGTTTTCCTTCTTTTTCCAGTACTACAAAAATATCATTGTGCACATCTAGTCCCACAGTAGACTTGATTTTCTGTATATCTTCCAGTGATGTTCCTTGCAGTCTTTCTAATAAAGTTGTTTTTCCAGCTCCCGCACAACCAACTATCATTGCCCGTGCTCTATATATGAGTGTTTTTCCCTTTCTCAAGTACTCTAAGTACCGAATTCGGGCATCTAAATCCCATTATTTAGAAAAAAATTAGTTAAACAAACAGATTTATGTTTTGTCCCAAAACATGTATTATTATTTTATAGGTTGCTAAATCTATGCAAAGTGGGATTTTTCGCTCTAACTAACATGGCTTGCAAGTTCAGCTATGAAGAAGAAATTATTTTTCTATATATTTACATTATGTGAATCTTGAGATACATTTAACCAATTCCAACTTTAAACCAGGATCCCTACATTGCTAAATACCGTAATCAACCCATCTTAGCCTTTGATCCCCTATTGATGCGGAAGGGGTGAACAACTTATGATTTACATTTTAATAGTAATAATTTTTTATTCTTCTATTCATTCTGATGCTGTTATTCTTGAAAAAGATGATTTTAAAGATATTTCTGAATATTTCAAGAGAGTGAGAAAGAAAGAGATAACATGAAAAGAAAAGGCTGGGTACTTACACTGGCCTGAAATAGTTGAATGCAATGATTTATCATCCAAGATGTCATGAATGAGTATTTCTCTTCCAAGCTTAGAAATAATTCTGGTAAAAAAATCCTTATAACTGGTCATTTTTCCAAAAGAAGGAGATAAGGAAAAGCGAACAAATTTCCCTTTTCCATTGAAATTTTCCGACCTAAAATACTTTGCAGAACTCTCTAGTGACACATTAAGTAATAGCCTCTTAATGTCCTCGTCCTGGTCATTGATTTTGCTCTTCTCCCAACATGTGTGTAAATAATCAAACATTGTCTCGTCTTGTACACAATCTGAAGTAAATGTCACTTTTTCTTTCTCAATGGATACGAATCCTTTCAATTGCAATGCTTGAATACTCTCAAATATGTTCTTTGAATCGTATTTTGTCCCACAAACTTCATATAATTTTTCTTTTATTGTTCTTTTGTTTTCTAAAATAAAGGTATTGTTATTGCTACAGAGGAGGAGAAATAAAGCAGCGCGTTCCTCAGATGACAACTGCTTGTATTTTTCTACAAAAAAGAACAAAAGTTATTCATGAATTAAGAGACAGTCCGCCGAAAATCAGGCAGGATTGTATTAATAGGCGGCACATCGAATGTGTGAATATTTGAAATTTTATTTTATTGAAAACAATATCAATGTAGTCCAAATGGAATAATGTAATCTAAGATTTTTTTGAAAATTTCTTATTTAGTAAAATATTCCTTTGTTTTGTGTTCTTATTCCCCTATATAAACCATTGAATTTAGGTCAGAAACAACGAACTGTAATTTCCAATACATATTTATCAGGAATATTATTCATGCTGAACTAAATCTATAAATATTTCATCTTTCAGTTTCAAAAATAAAATTGGTGGGCAAAACACTTTTGATAGTTTTCTGTCAAAATATATGGACGTTTTTATGAAATTTTGCGATGTAAGAGTTATCTCGCGTGGCATCGGTAAATCTTCTAAATATCTTACTATCGAAATCCTAGTGCAATATCTAGAATATATACACAAAAATACATTATTAAACAAAAAATTACTACTTTATTTTCAAATTAGAATTCATTTTCGCCTCCAAACATAATATTTAGATTAAGATGGCAGTATTATTCAGGTTGAATCCACGTTTCCATTGATGTATCAGTGACGTCATATACCTGAATAATATTGCGTCACAATTAAATTGTTACGAGGGTTGATCCAAAAGTAATGTCACAGTGTTCATATCTTTTATATTTGGCGTCATAGTATCAAAAACAATATACCAAAAGATGCACAGATATAAATCTAATTAACATTGAAATTTTAATTTAATAATGTTTATTTGAATTTATTTTATAGATGTTTAAAACATAGAGCATAGGGGGTGTCGCCGCGTCACAACGGAACGTCACGTTTTAAAGTGTATTTTTTAGAATGAAAAAGACAAACACATAAGATTCTAAAAAAGCACTTAATCTCTAAATTTTTTAAAAGACGCGTTTTTAATGACACGCCATTTTCTAGTCTTTAATTGAAAATTAAATGACGGCATTGGTATTTGTGATCACAAACATTGTTGTTTTACTCTGTTGAATTGAACAAAAGGATTGTCCAAATGGGAAAAAACGGCTCGACGACTTGTAATGCATTTGTTGCTTCTAAATATGGGAATCATCTCAGGAGACAATAACATTAATTAATCAGACTTACAGAATAAAGAATCTAAATAAGAGACATCTTAATTAGCAATTTCTGCAATTTTGGGCGGGTTATTGGTCACTGAATGATCAGCAGAGGACAAAAAGACCGAAAGATAGGAAATCGGACGGAAACGTTTAATGGTGTCTGACGTCAAAAAAGACAGACGTATAGAGTGGCATGCACATGTGAATTTCTAAGTTTGTCTTTGCTACTGTTCAAATAATTTTGACAGAGGGCTTAATAATGAAACGAGTGAGTGTATAATGGTACCGAGAACTCTTAAAAAAGTGAAACTGGTGAAAGTGTTTGCGAGTTACAAATATTTTTTTAATGAAACGAAGGGAAACGCTTAAAAGTATGACGGTGCGTATCCGTCATATGACGTTATATTTAGGTGCGGCGACTACCATAAACGCACATTGTTTAAAATCCGATATTTTGGAAAGTAAACATCATGTTCCTTTGAATTTTTGTTATGTCTGATTTGAGATAAATAAAGCTTTCATCATGTATAATTTTGTTGCTTTACGTCGATTTATAGCAATTTTATCCAAGTTGTGACATTACTTTTGGATCAACCCTCGTACAAGTTTTCCAAAGATGTTTGTAAATTCTTTGCATAAAAGCGCAAATAAAACAATTAAAAATAAATAATTTCTCTTTTTCTTTTCAATTACCATGATTACTCTTCAGAGTGCATTATCCTACATGTTACATTTTCAGATATTTTTATTTAAATGTGATTTTTTCACGGGCGACGTCTCATCTAGAAGTTCCTTTTGATAAGTAATGTTGTACATGTCCGAGAACTAATTTTCTAAACTGATTTACTAGGCTATGCGTAAAAATAATTAATTGTTTATATTGAATATTTCTTATAAAATTGGAATGTGAACTCATGAGAGATTTTGTTTTCTTCTGATTACCAAGGAAAGATGAATATTTTAGATTTATGCAACATTTAATTGAAGTCAACGGAGTTGAGATGTTTATTTCATGCTTTTTGTAAAAAAAAAAAAAAAAAGAAAAAAGAAAAAAAAAGAAAAACTTGATTATATTTATCTATGCAAACGATCCGCAGTACGATTAAAACATTTTATTAAAAAAATGAAAAATAAGATTTAAAATATTTATTGAGGAAAATTACTGTTGAACTCCCCACTTCAATTTGCCACTAAAACGGGAGATTTCGTGGGTGTATTTTTTTGTTTTGTATTGTTTTTGTTTGGTTTTTTTTTAATTTGGTGATTGAAACAATAACATACTTACATTCAATATGAAGTTAAAACATGTGACCATGTTGGCCAATTCTAAAATGTTTCCCATTATTAAACGAAAGTTGTTTTTTTAATATGCCGCCTTGCCCACCCCCACCTCCCCGCCCCCGCCCCCGCCCAAGCTTTTTGCTTGCGATTTGTAGGCTCTTAAATAATGATACTATATATGGATAAACTTATTTTCTTATTAATATAAAATTAAATTTTATAAGATGAAAATATGGGAAAACGGCTTTTATAAATGACAGGTTTAAAAAATTTGGATGAAGCCGAGACTGTGCACTTTTAATATTTTCTGCATTTATGTACGTGCAAGTATATTTTCACAGAATTTAACTCTTTAATTCACAGAGAATTAAAAAAAACTTCAGTTGCAAATAAGATATTTTATAAAGATATGCTGTTTACTCTCAGTTGTTGCATAATGCATGTACAAATACTTGTTTTTTTAATACCGAGTATCAAAAAATCGAACAGATGTTATACATGATTGTAATCTTCATGTACGTAAAAGACATTAGTATTTTAAAAACATTGTATAAACATTTGAATTCATGGATAAAATAATTTTAAAACAGTTGACTAACTGAACAGAAATAAAAGACTAGATGCTGTCATGAGACAATAATACCCGCACTAAGGTGTTTGCCTCTAAATGCACACTTCTTCATATTAGGCTTTACCAAGGAAAAAGTCAATATAATTCAATAATTTACATAATACATGTATTCATCAAATTGAGCATAATATGCTCAGGTGACCATGTAGCTGCAGATCTGGCTTTATATATTTGTCTTTGATCATAACGCTACAGATCCCGATATGCAAAAGAGGTGCAATTTACGCGCAATATTTTTTTAGCACTTTTGGGCAGAATTTCTCCACTTTCTAGCATTAGTCAATCAACTACCTTTCACTCCCTAATTTTAGACACATTCTCTCGGCCAATATGTATATTTTGTCCACCTCCCAGCCATTTATAGTAATCTCTACAGGCAATAAACTCGCTTGAAGTTAATTTTCAGCAATCTAACAAATAATTTTAATCAAGCGAGTTTATCACTTGTAGAGACGACTATAAAGGGTTGGGAGATGGATAAAATATGCGAATTAGTTAAATAATGTGCCTAGAATTCAGGGAGTGAAAAGTAGTTTATTGACCGGTGCTGGAAAGTGGAGAAATTCCCCCTCAATGCGCAAAAAAGATTGTGCCGTAAATTGCACCTTTTTTGCATTACAGGATCTGCAGTCGAAGACTAATATATAAAACCATAACGCTACAGATCTGCAGCTAGTGACCATATAGACCCATGGGCCTTCATTTTATAGGTATTTCATATTCTTAATTCATTACCAGTCGGAAATTAAACTACAGAATTAAATTAATGATGTAAATTAGGTTTGATAAGGGGGGGGGGGATTTGGCACATAATTGGAACTTTTTAAATCTATTTTCTCATATAGATTAACAACAAATAATATTATTCAAATTAGTGTTAAGCGTTTTTAATTAATTTTTCAATATTTGCAAAGTTTATTTATATTTG